TGCTATGTTTTTAGAAGCCTAAATAAGTAGAGAAATTTTGATAATTTGACTCACCAATGTAGGAGTATGAATGGATCATGTCGGGTCTGGGTCAATGACCTAGATCCAACCAGGACCCAAGTCGAATCCAGGGCATTGGATCTGGAATTGATCGGTTGGTTGGGTCAGGTTAGATTCTCTTGTTTAGGGTTTCTAAAATAGAATAAGCAGGGGTATTTGCAATGTTAGCACATGCCAACATTGCATACGTCCAATGACCAATGAACTAACCCTCAATTGCTCAAAAACTTAAATTTTTTTTTTTAACGGAAAAGTATATAATAAGTCCATTGCTTTTAATAATAAGTACATAATAAGTCCATTGCTTTTAATACAAGCGGGTCACAATTAATCTTAACCACTGGATGTGAAATTGGGTGGCTGCATTTACTCTTTTGACCAAGCTCAAAGTTTAAAAGAAATTTTTTCGGACTTTGTGACATACCCAAGCTATCAGATTTCACATTGAATGACTATAAATAATTGTGATCTTCTTGTACCAAAGATAAATAATCTTATTATATACAATCCTTTTTTTTCTTGGATATACTTTTATGGGTTGCTAACTCTAAATATAAAGGGGTAATTTAGTCTCTATACTTGAAATAAGAGGTCCGAGAAACTGACTGGTATAACCCACCTTGTTCAAGTTCAGGAACTGAAAACATTGCTTTTATGAAAATCATTCCCAAGTTTGAAAAAAGAGGGCTACTATTGTCGTTACTCTTTAATTAATGGGTCTAATCAAAACGAAGTGATAACCCTCTTTGTTAGGTGTTAGCAATAGATAAATCATTTTTTTTTCATTAGAAACTTTTCTTTTTAGTTCTTGAGTATAATCAAATAAGGTGTATTTATGTCATTTGGGTCCAGATACTTTATAATTTCTAACTATTAAAATCCACTTACATGTTCAGGCCTTCCAATCCCATTTTGGGTATTTTTAAATAAATATATAAAAATGTCCTTGAGTGAAATAAAACTTATAAAAAGTAATTCCTCTAATGTCAAGTTGAATGGTTTAGCTTCCATGATGATTTTGTGAGGTGACTTGGACATGAAAAGTGATATTTTCCCTCTTAAAAATGCAAATTTACCACTTTAAAGTAGCAAAGATGATCTTGGCTTAATTATAGGCAGTCCTCATAATGGTAATTAATGATCGAACTCTATCAAAGTTCTTTCTATTTCCTCTTGATTACTTTAACTGGGTTGCAACTTGAGAGGGCTCGCTGTTATGTATGCATGCTAAAGATTGGCTTTGGAAATCCTTGATGAGAAAATCAACGTATACAACTGAATGTTTGATTGGGACAGGAAAGAATAAAAGAGTACGGGCAGGAGATTTTCATAAAGGCCCAAAATTTAAACAAGACTGATATCGGAGAAGCAAAGAATGCACTGTCTAATCTGGCAAATCTATCAAGAAATGGTCTTAAAAAGGTGATGAAAGAGAAGAAACTAGATGCGATAATGACTCCAGGTAACAGCCGAGCCATTGGAGGCTATCCTGGGATCACTGTGCCCGCCGGCTATGACGAAGAAGGTGTGCCATTTGGAATTTGTTTTGGTGGCCTAAGGGGTTCAGAGCCAAAGTTGATTGAGATTGCCTATTCCTTTGAGCAAGCAACACACATCAGAAAGCCCCCAACTTTCAAGCAGTGATATAGATACTCATCTTTCATGCAATACAATCACCCACTTTTCCTTCTTTTAGCTTAATAAATGGGGGCCTAGGAGTAGGACATGTAAGTGGGTCACTGAATATACAGAATGAAAAACTGAATCGACTGGCATACAGTGACATGAAATCATTGCCCTTTATGTAGATTTACTGTTGTGCTCTTATTCGGATGATTAGTCGTAATGTATTAGGCAATTTATTTGAAGTGTTCTTGCATGATGAATTGATCATTAGATTGTGAAGCTAAATCATATCTTTCGTCTTTTGAGGTTCTAAAGTAATAATAATTCATAATTACGAATCCAAAAAGCTTATTGTTTGTTTTAACTTTCTTTATATTGGAAGAATCTTCTTAAATTTTGGACCTCCATGACTCTAGCTTAAGGCCAGTTTTCGATTTTTTTAGGATAAAAGTCTCTGAACGTTGCTTTGGAACAAGTGTCATTTTAGCATGGTGGACTACTATTCAATGGTAATTACCCAAAAAAAAAAAAAATTACTATTCAGTGGAATGACATTGGCAAGGAAATATATATAATGAGACAATTTATTTTTAATATAAGGATGTCACAATCATCATTAACTGTAAGATCTAGAATCGGACGATTGAGGATGTGTCATTGTTTGGGCCCGAAGTCCAAAACAAAAATTTTTGAATGTTTTGACACACTTAATCTATTGGATTTCACATCTAATAGCTAAAAGTGAGGTCTAAAAAGAGTGATGACCTTAAAATTTCCCTTAACCTAAGGGTAAGAATTTTTCAGATTTGGTATGGATCCACCTAGATCCAGATTTGGATCCAAATAGTATACATATGATGAATGCAACTTGGTCCAATGTAGGAAGCGTATCTCATCCCGTCCAAAATCTATGATGAAGCACTTGAAACACCTCACTCTCGATCTAAGCATGAATACAACTTGATCACCTCCAAAACATTTTATCTCAGGGAGACGAGACAAATCCCATCCTCTTCTAGCCCAATCGCTAAGTCCACAAGTATCATTAGAAGGAGGCAAGAATGAGCCAACAACCATAGACATAACCTTCCTTATAATGGTCTCAACCTCCTTGTGTGTGTCTAAACAATAAGCTAGTGTTGCCTCTTTATCTTTAAAGTTGCATATCATGCAACTAATTATTTTTTGTTTTTTTGCTAGAAGATCTCATGCACACATCAAAGAACCTTATCCTCCTTTAGTGGCACGAGGGAAATGCTTACATGTTTAATGATTTCATAGGAATATCTCAATGTCTCTCATAAATTTACCTAGATTACCTCATTGATATACTTATGGTCATATTCGACTGTAACACTCATAATTGTTGTTTTCTTTGGACGGTAAAATACTTGGACAAAAAGGGGCCCTTACATATGGTTATCCAGGCTGGAGTACATAGGCATGTCTGACTAGTTTGAATTGTCAACCAGTGCCTTGACGACTAATTATATATGTGAAAAGTTTATATAGAGCCGACAATCTAAACAATCAAATTTTAGCCTACCTCCAAAATTTTTCTAAAAGAAGTCGTTTTCATGCCGAAATATCCTCAAATTCATTATATGGACATCAAGATGCATGGACATGACAAAAAATAGATTTCAAGTTTTGCAAATTGTGTAGTTTGTAATACATTTTTGGACCGTCAATTTTCAAGATTTTCAAGTTTTCATATATCTATCAATCTACACTATTTTTGATGCTTTGAACCTTATAAATAAATATGAAAATATATTTTAGCGCTATCACAAATATTTTCAGTATTGAAACTACATTTCTCGATACTATTTGAAGGTAGGCTCTAACTTGATTGTTTAGAGCCTAAGCTCTATACAAACCATGCCCATTATATATTAAACTAAACAAATAGATGAGGTAAATCGTTATGGACCGGAGTAAGATTGGAACCCGCCGGTATTGACGCAAAAAATAGTTTTTCATGCCTTTGTCACGAGTGGAAAGGGAACTTTCTCACCAATGTTACTTATTAATAAGTACATTTTTTTTTGACAAGATACTTATTAATAGGTACATTGTCCTTCAAGATTGTAAGGGATTGTACAACACATGGCTTGGTACAAAGATCACAATTGTTTTAATTGTTAAATGCGGAATTTAATAGCTTGGAATATATTATAAAGTTCAAGAATATTATTTTTTTGATTTCATTCCCATGGTGGCACAACCGCACCTAAGTTGTCTTATTTTGCAATCAAAGGCTAAAAGCACCAGTGAAGCCTTGTACCAAACATAAATGCCCATATTTTATTCTTCAGATTTTGCAATAAACGGCTAAAAGTATCAATGAAGCCTTCTACCAAAGATAAATGACCATATTTTATACTTCCCTATATCTGAGGAGCGCAACCCCTTCTATATTGTTCATTTGGGCTTTTGCAGTTGGTTGTCATCATCCTGTCCCTCGGAATAACCGCAGCTATAAGTGTAACGACTTTATTTTTTATTGAAAAAGTTTAAAAAAACCTCTAAAAACAACTTACTCTCAGTTTTAGCTTTTTTTCTCCCGTTTTTTTTCCAAAATGTACTTTCTATAACCCTTGCCAAATACAAAATAAAAAAATACTTAAACTACCATCCCTTACTTTTATTTGACCGAAGCCTCTCTCCCACCAAAATAGGGGCTCTGGTCAATACGGTCCGGTATAACACTCCTATGCTGTGTAAAGTTCGGTATGGCAGTAAGGCTTTGGCACTGTGTTTAGTGCGATCGGCTATAGGGCTCTGGCACTGTGTAAAGTACGGTCCGTCAATTGAAATGGCCGGTCCGTCTGTTGTAAAGGGCGGTTCGACACTTGTGTGCTCTAACAATGTGATAGTCCGCTCCGGTAATGTTCTTCTGGGTTCAAAAGTCAACGTCAAATATGTCCAAAATAATTTTTGTGTATAAAAAAAACATTTTCATCCAAATAAACTTTTTCCCTAAATTATATTTGTATAAAAAATTTGTTTGTGAAAGAAAGTGAGAGATAAACTCAAGTTGCAGCATAGAAAACGTGGTCTTGGGTTTTTTTGTAATTTTTCCTCCCTTATTTCATTGGGCATTATGTCAAATTGAAGCCGTCCTTGTTCAAATTTGACGGATAGGATAATGTCAACCGACTGTAACCAGTCAAGTGTTCTCATTGCATTCGTACACCTTTAAACAACCTCATTTTGAAACCGATGGCAATATGGTAATTTTCTATTGGATTGGAGGCTATAACGGTAGGTTACGGATCACTTTCTTTTTGTAGGATTAGTGACATACGGAAACCAGGGTTTGAGGAACTTTGAAAAGTGAGAAGCACTCTCTCTCTCTCTTGATCGAGAAGGCAGCGCAAACCCGTTGGGATTTGAATCTGCAAACTTCCCTCTCTGTTTTCATTTAAAATCTACTGTAGAGAGAGAAAGAAAGATCCATTCGCTCCCATCCATTTCCATTGAAGTTCAGGAGAGCGAATAAAACTTTTGGGGTTTTCCTTTCCCTCGAGCTTTCCTTCAGTTTCACTGAAGTAACAGGAGATACAAAGAGGATTTGAGGATTTGTTTTCTTTAACCTTTGCTCCATTTCTATTTAATTACAGTTGAGGGATTTGGGGGTTTTTTTCCTCGAGCTTTCCTTCATTTCATTGAAGCAGAGGAGAGAGAAAGAGGGGTTTGGGTTTTTGTTTCCCTTAAGCGTTCCTTCATTTCCATTGAAGTACAGGAAGAGAGGGATTTGGGCTTTCTTTTGCCTTACGGCGTTCTTTTTTTCTAACACTAAAATACAGGAGAGAGAAAGAGAGTTGGGTTTTTCTTTCCTGAGTTTTCCTTCGATTCAATTGGTAAGAAAGCTTAGAGCTGAGACTCTATAATGGAGGAAGGGGTCTGTGTCACTTCCGCTTCAGACCCACTTTCTTCTATCCATGGCCGAACCCTATTAAAATCTCTAATTCGTCTTTTGAAAGTGAAGCAATCTCAACTCGAGTTCTTTGCGGATGAAAGGAAGCTTTTAGAAGAGAGACTCAAGGTCCAGCACAAGCTCTGGGTCTCTGAGATCCACCAGTTCGAGCTCCAGATTTCTCAGGTTTTCCATTTGTTTTTTGTTCTTAAAATATTTCTCACCCTACCCATCTATCCTTTTCAATCTCTCTCTTTACCCATCTATTGAGGAGTTTCATACATTGTTCTTTTTAGATGGAAAGAGCTTTAACGATGGCCAATTTTGGTCGTGCTGTAGACATGGCCAAGATGGATCACTTGATAACGATGAAAGAGAAGGAGGCTCATCTTTGTAAATTGAAGTTAGGTATGCTCCATTCCCAAATAATGCATAAGGTTTCTGTCTATCTGGTCATGATTTTCATTTGGGGCTTCCTTTGTTTTTTTTGTTTTTTTGAATTTCCCCCAATTATAATTTGTACAAAGAAGTTTTTAGATAATATGAGGAACTGTTATATCTCTTTTTCTTCAATGTCTATGGGTATTTGGTACCTCTAACAGTCTAACTATCTTGGGTTTTTTTAAATATATTGTGCATTGAACTTCCTGAAATTTGGAATTGGTTTTGGGTTTGTTCTGAACTCACACTTTCTTAGCTTGATACAACTAAATGCTTTTGAAGCCTCTTGGCTGGCTAATCAAGCATGTGCATGTTCCCAGGAGCTTTCTTGAGGCCATAAATTTCGAGTTCCCATCATATTCAATGGTATTAATGATAGTCTGACTGACACTTATTCATTTTTGTATTCTTTTCCATGGATTAGAGTATGCAGAGAGCGATTTGGAGGACCAGCTGTTTTGCACCAATTGTCTAAGTGAGAAAACAGTAAGCCCAGACCCTTGAATTATATCCTTCATTGTGTTGAAAACATTCATGATATGTATAAGTTTCCTGTATTAGGCATTTTCCTTTTCTGGAGTATCTTTTTTTGTGGTATTCACTAAAAGCTTTGAATTGTTTATCTAGTGTGACCGACAAGGACATGTCTCTGGGACCGAAAAAGGGGAAGGTGGAGTTAATCAAGGAAGAAGTTCTTCAAAGAAAACAGATCAAAGTTCCAATAAGTTGCAGGCAGAGCTAAGAAAACTTAGTTCTGAATGTGAAAAATTGAACTTAAAGAAGAACCGTGATGTCTCAGCACTTTTATTGGAAAGGAATTTTGTTTGGGATCAAATGAAAAGGATGGAGGAAGACTACATTGGTCGCTTAAAAGGTAAGGAGAAGGAGCTAGAGCTGGCTAATGAAACTACTGAAAAGTTTGGTCATAATTTGGAGAAGTTGCAGTCTACATTAGACGAGAAGGATGCTATTGTCATCAAGTTGAAGAGTGATCTAGCTGAGAGTAAAGCTGAGTTAGATAAGCTTAACAAAGAATTGAGTAGATTATCACATGAATTGGTGTCAACGAAAAACAAAAAAGTGGGATCTGAGGAGGATTTGGATATCTGCTCCTTGGATAAAGAGGAAAGGGGTAGTAGAAGGAAGATTCTACTTGTTGACAAGCAGGCTGATGGACTAGAAGCCTCCTACACTGTCAGTAAGAAGGTATAATTACCAAAGAATCTAATGCTTATATACTATTTTCCTATGGTCTTTGGTGATTTGTAGTCCATTGGTGTCATCATCACCAAGCAATTGATGGGCTGTAATGGATAGTGTGTGGCCCAACATGGGGCTCATGTCCTTCTATGTTGGTTCCCGCTCTCCATCTATTTTAATCATTTCATTGGAATTTAGTGATCCCAATGGACTATGATTTTCTCTGGCCCAATGGTTATATTGTTCTTTCTATTACTGAATTAATATTGTTTTTCTCTAGCCCAATAATTCTAAGGAATGTTGCATAATGCATGTTTGTTATGGAGTGCTTTCCTTTTGTGACATGTCTATATTTTGCTTGTGACTTATTGGTCGATTATTATGTGTCTGGTGCTTGAGTTTATATAATCTAAAAATTTCCTCTATATGCATTGAAACCCGGGTAATAAAAGTGAGGACCTTAAACTTCTCTTAACTTGTCCCAAGCCCAAGCCCAAGTAAAGGAGCTGGGTTGCGTTAAGTAGGCAGTAAGCGTAAAACTTTACGCCACCTTATCATGAATCTTGAGCTTATCTTTTTTCTTTTTTATTTTTGGTTTGAGCAATTTGTTATCTTTGAAATACTGATTTGCTTGCTTGATTCATGTTGTCCTATGGGCACGTGATTTGCTTGAACAGGATAATGATCTCAATGATAAGACATCTAAGAAAGATTTGATTGTTCGATTAAACGAACTGTCGAAGCAGACGGAGATCATGCATGTTGAGAATGAGCACTTAAGGATGCTTTGTGCAGATCTGAAGGATCAACTCAATAAACAGAATGTATTGTTTCTCTGCTTAATTCTTTTTTCTTTTTTTCCGTGCTTAATTCCATACTCATATGTTGTGAAATAGAGAGTATCTTAATTCCATGCGCATATGTTGTGAAATAGAGAGTATTTTATGTTCTCGAATTTCTTATTGCACATGTTTAGACTGTTATCATTCCTTTTGCATCAAAATGTCAGCACCCCGTTAAGGAAAACGGTGATCCTCTTGGATTAGTTCAACGGAACTTGACTGAAGAAATGGAGAGAGCAGTTATTCAAGATCCAGTAGCCGAACCATTTCTTAAAGTAAGCACTGGCTCCGGCAGTTATTTGTTGCTTTTTCTGGTTGGACTTCGATCTTCCTGAATTACTTGTAACCTGATGCTTTGATTGTGGTCAGAGCTGTGATAAACATAAGGTAGAGGATGCTAGAGTGCCAAAGCAGTCTTTGAAGACACCAGCATTACGGAAAGAAGAGGGCATTGGAAATGGGGTAATGAGGATGAGATCATCTGCTATTTGTTAAATTCTCTCTCTCTCTCTCTCTCTCTCTCTCTCTCTCTCTCTCTCTCTCTCTCTCTCTCTCTCTCTCTCTCTCTCTCTCTCTCTCTCTCTCTCTCTCTCTCTCTCTCTCTCTCTCTCTCTCTCTCTCTCTCTCTCTCTCTCTCTCTCTCTCTCTCTCTCT